TTTTATTTCCATACGAAATTGGGAACTATTCAAATGCGTATTGAGTTGCGACTGCTAACCGACATCAAAATACACTTTATATCTCTAGGGATAAGTATGATAGGCAGGGGAATATTATTGAAGGCATAAGACACGATAATTCGGTACTCAGTCTCAAATCATAGCACGGGTGCTACACAGTGGGGAAAATGACGAAAAACCGAAGGTAAACTGTCAAAAACTTCCAAAAAGCCTTTTTTCTTCACTAGTGGAAAGGCGATTTCGGACGAGTTCCCATTGGCATCGTGCCAATAATCGCTACGGTAGATACGGCTGCATGTATGTACTCATATATCCATGCAGCACCGCAGCCGCTTCATATCAATCCCTTCGCTTCATATTGTACTTCGCAAATGAAGCGATACGAGCATCAGCATCGGTCGAACATTTGTGGGCGGGCCGGGCGCGGTAGGCCTCTACGCTGCAGCTTGACAGCTATGAGGTACTTTCCTTGGAAGGGTCGCCACGCAGCGTCTGTTCAGGGGCGCCAAATTCTGTCCTGCCAGGTGTATTAAGTCCTACACGTCTTATTGATCTTTTAACTTGTCTTTAAGCTGACCGCTGAGATATAAAGTATTTGGATGGACTGAACTCTGAACTATCTGGCGTCAATAATTTATTCCTGCTGACGGCTGCATATCTCATGCTAAATTTCTTCTTTTATATATAACAGTTACCTCTATGTGTCTCGACCCTCACATTCATGGTGGTCACGCCCCGCTTGCCCTCAGATATGCACTGTGTACAAGTTTCACACGCGACCCTACAGCACGCGCCAAGAGGAATAGTGTGGCGTTTTCAGCTATTGTGTCCTGACCAGTGTGGAGCACATATTACGGGGGCTAAAGTGTCCACGACCAGTCAGCAAACTGTGTGCGAGTGCATAAGGCTAGTGAAAATCTAATACTTGGTTGATACTTGGCAGTCACGGTAATGCTTACAAAGAATAAAGGAGACCTATGATTATTTTGAAGTGAATTAATTTTTGGAGTGTCACGCACATGGTATTCAAATGCGCGGTTTCAATGGCCTTTGGAACGCAGGTGCAATAAGTGCTAGTGACGAAAATTTGTTCGGCGTAGCAACGTTATTTCTCGAGGGACCCAACTTTTTCTTCAGTGCTACCTTTTCGCAGAACCGTCGTTTTGGCGCTCGAAAGATTATTGCAGGAATGTTGACTATGGGCAGCGAGTTCCTGGCCCCCGCGGGACTACACCACACCTCACACTTCCGGACAAGTGCGATTATCTTCACGCACAAAGATGCTCTCACTCTCTCAGCTTGTCGGCTTTAATGCCGTAGCCTAGCAGCTCTCACGCGTTTGGCATGGTGAGCCATCAAGCTGGGAGCGTAAAAGCGACCGTCTGGTAGCTTAACGGATGGCGGACTCGCTTGGAAAACGTGAGGTGCAGGTTTGAGTTCTGCCTGGGACATACCTCTGCCCATATATCATGGGCAGCATTCTCGTGATAATCTTCTGGACTCGTGTTGAACCGCGCAGTAATTTCAGGAGGAAGTCTGGTTGGCTAGGCTTGCGATAAAACGGAGAAAAAACAGACTAATGGTTTTGATCCTGGGACAGCACGTGAGAGAGCCCCTGGGCCCTTCCGCCACTGCACCACTTTTGCTTAATATGTCATGCAGAAAAGTTTCTGAGAGGCATAGTTCACCCTTTTTGCACTTTCCCGGTTTCTACGACTCTTTAAGAGTTTTTCTGATGAGAATTCCCCTTGTTTTCATAATAACATCATAACTTCGGAGTTTCCTAAGCTGTTACATTGGTTGACTCCTTGAATTCTATATTATTATCTATATTTTATTTTTATATGATCATTACGGACTTTTTTTTACTTTTTATACAATATTCACTTTGTTCCGATGCACAGACCATTTTCAAATGTCACTTGACATCTATTTTTATTACGCGGCTTTTCAGGCATTCCAATTAGCTGAGAAATGGGTTACGGGCAACTTCAAAGTGTGGAAGGAGACGCATCACATGTGGGAGAAGGTAAGCTTTTGTCCACTAAGCTGTCAAATATTCCAAAGGTGATATTAGGTGATTTTCCTTCGCAGACCTATAAAATGAGGCGATGGTGAGCGTAGAAGGGCGACATACGGCAGTAGAGGCGGAGCGGATGTGGGACTTGTTCGGTTTCATGCCCCACGGCGTTCAAGTAGCTGCCACTTCACATCCGCTCTCACCACATTAGAATAATCGCGCATCATAAATTCGCTCGGCATTTGAATGGCACGGAAGAAGCCTCTTTGCATGAGAAGCGCCGATTGATTACGGTATCAATTCAATTTCGCCCCTATCTGCTCCATCTACCGTACACCGGGGTTGGCCGGCCGCGAACACGATGGCACTTAGCCGCTGGCGGCACCGCATGTATTATTGCTTTCGTATGAGCGAGTGAAAAAGACTTCAGAGACGTTTACTAGGACGGGCTCGAGATGTCGTCCAGGGCGGCGTGCTCCGACAGGGCGAGCTAAAGCGCTCCCTCTTGGCCGAGCTCTCCTTCCCATTCAGCACGAAACTGTCCCGAACGAAAAAACATAGGATTTCACATCAGGAACTGAAATGATATCTGGCCAGAGATCACGATTATAAAACTCGAAACTTCGACCCTATCTGAAACATCTGAGGACACTGAGATACTGTACGCTAGGAAAATAAACCGTGGAATGAACTCGACGTGATTCCTGGAAGTTTCGCATCAGACTAGGGGCTGCTTCTGCCTCCCAATTTTTTTTGCAAGACACGAACCCTTCCTCAGAACTTCCTGTTTCCGTTACGACCAGTGGGAAGCGAAATGCCCTTCTCCTCTCCATTCCCCCCCCCCACATCTCCGATCCTTCCTGCCATCTTCCTGAATTCTCCCAACATCTTCATTTTTCGTAGTTTATCCCCAAATTCGACCCCCCCCCTAAGCGACCAAATGCGACGAAGGATGAAGCTCTCCTCGTATTTTACACCTTTTTGAGTGTGCCAAGCTTTTCATTTTTTCCTAGAACCTTAGGGCCATCTCGAGTGGGATTCACCGGGAAACTCAAGGATCATTTACCTAACTCCAGAACTTTTCGAACCTGCTTTATTACGATAACTGTTGCTCTTTGAGGCAGCACTTGGCGCTACGGAAGACTTGAGGGAGTCGAACCCGCGCCTCACGCGTATCGGATAAGCGCGCTCATCATTACACACCTGTTTTAACATACTAAGTAAAAACCTTCGAGCTGGAAGTGTGGAAAGGGGTCGGTAGTGCAGTGGTTAGCACGCTGACCGGTAAGCGTGAGGTGAGGGTTAGAGTCCCGAGATGTGGTGGTGTTTTTGCCCGTGACAACAGTTTATGAGGCCGGACGGATGCAAGGCTTGACTGACCCACTGAAGCCTATCAGAGCTTTGATTCGTGGACGCTACCTTTGGTGCGCCGCCACTGCACCGCATCTGCCCAGCAAGATATATGTGGTCTCTGATCGGCAAGCTATACATATGCTATATCCCGGAGATGAGAGAGGGCGTGGCTGCTTACATTTTTCAAACATGGCGCGTTATGCGTTCTTCGTAGGGTATTTCCATTTGAGGCAACTGTAATTTTACTGTGTACTTGACAAAGATATGGAAGCACTTACTACAAAATGGCAACATTCTACCAGCACAGCAGCCGACAATTTTATAAGAAGTACGCAGCCACGCCCACTCTGTCTCTGGGATGTGGAGTGAATGTAAACTTCATAAATATATGAACTGTCCTCGAATACAAATATTGGAAGGAGTTTACTTTGAATTAGTTCTTTTCTGCCTTCATTTCTGCGATTTTTTGTAGTACTAATGCAGCTCTTTGCACTATCCAACCGATATCTCGTGCTCCCTCGCCGATTATCCTCTCCGATTCGGGCGGAATTTGTGGTGGCATCCCTCGACTATCTGTATTCATGTGTGTGTATGATGTTGTGTTCCTTTTGTCAACGGTAATCTGTCGCCGTTAGTAAGGTGAGGGCGTGTATTGTCAAGGACGCTTCGTATAATGGACTCGCACCCAATTACGGGAAACTGTAGTTAGTAGGCGCCGCAAACGCGCACGTCACTCGACTGAGACAATCGCGGTGGTGGTGATGGTCGGTCGGTCACATAGCGTCGATTTAGGCGCTCAAGGCAGTCCCGCAGGAA